AGACAGGCAGTAACGGCAGAGTCCGCGTGGTGGGGATTTTGTGGGACACATTGTAATCTTTCGACCTGGAAATTAAGCGCAGGTAACTCAACACCACTCCCAATATGTTTCAAAAGATATGGAAACATCTCTGATATGGGAAGAAGTTCTTTCACCAAAGCTTCATGCGTCATCATTCCAGTGTTGCAGTCGAGAACAAAAATCTTACACGAACGTAAATCAACACATAGGCCAATCCAGTGTTTGTGATAAACATTGAAAAGGATGTAAAACCTGGTCACACCATCGTATGTTTCGGAAGTCTTTCTTATGCAATCCACCATTGCATTTGTGAAAACATAGGCATCCTTCTGCTTGGACTTTTTATACTTTGGAAAGTTTCGTGAAAACAAAACCTGTACTTTACTATCCAGGAAGACATATTTGGTTTCCCCTCGACCCACCTCGTGATTGGAGAAGTTGGATGCAACAAGTTTTGTTAGAATATCTACAACCTGAATTAACCAACATAATCGAGTAAGAGATATTATAATGCGCAATGTAGAAATGTATAAAACATCATGTACTTACTCTCCCTGGAAGGACTCTGTTCCTTTCACCAATATCAACCAAATCTTTTCCTGTAACAGCTAGACCCGCAAAATTGATAACACTGCAGTTGAGAAAAAGAAAAATTAATGCTTGTCGGCAATTGTAGATATGAAGATTAAAGATGTAAGGATATAAATAAGTGAAATTTCATTAGAGGGTGACAAATTACCAGTGTTTCTTAACTAGCATCTTCAATCTCAAATACTTTTCACGAATCTCAGCTGGGGCATAGCAAGTCAAACGTGCAAGCTGAACTTCATGAGCACGATTAAGAATTGATTTCCCACAGTGGTAGTCACTGATCAGTTGAGGTGGGACATGCCTCATTCGCTTACTTTGATGAGATATCAAATTCTCCTCGGTTTCCACCATCGCATTTTGTTTCTCTTCTATGACAGAGGCCTTCTGAGTTTCTCCAATATTGTCTTCTTCCTGAGGGTGTACCATTAGAAATTCCTGCGTAAGTCCAAGTGAAAAAGAAGGATTCGGAAGGTCGATGCAATCAGTGAACGCCTATACACATGAAACAGGTTACCATGTATTTATCAAATCAGCTTTACGTATACTAACAGTTAGTTAAAATTGGAATAAGTATTACATGTGCATCTCTTGGACGGGACGTCTCACTTTGTCCTGTAACAGAATGGTGCTGCCCTGTCTCACCATCTATGACTCCAACAGAACAAACATCCGCAGGGTTTTGGTGAGCGTTCGAGGCAGATCCCTGAACATAAGATAACATCGTATATTATGAGAACATTCCGGTGACATAATTTATGAATCAAATTATGAACCATATTAGTAAACATCTTACAAATAGTAGAAAATTAAATAAAGAAAGTTCGGTTTCGTTAATACAGTTCAACCAATCATTTAAATTTATGTAATAGGTTGGAGTAACGATATCTATCTTCCAGGTATCCGTCATTGGTTAGACATATAAGGAGAAGATGTAAGAAGTTTACTTGGGAAAAATTCGCAGACAGCCTTCTAACCGACGTAGGCTTGGTTAATGGACAACTACGCATCTCATTTTGGGGAGTTGTTGGATTTGTATGACCAACGATGGGAATTTCTGATAGCCGTGCATGTGACTGGGCCTCGCTTCCCTGAAATGAAAGCTGTTAGTTGTGCGTTACCCATGAATATATGACTGCAATTACTTGGGGAAATTGTATGCAGTCCAAAGCACCAATAAATTACTTTATCTAATGTATAACCAGTAATATGTCACAATATCCTATATTATTGGGATAACCAGCAATATGTATAAAAATCCGGTTTTAAAACACTCTTTGGATGCAAGCAAAAATGGAAAAAAACCCCAATGTATACATGTCCGAAATCTTAAACCTTTGGGACTTACTTGACAACGTTTTCCCGGACCTTCAGGCATCGAATACTGAGAAATGTTTCGCAGCACATCATCAACATCTTCAGCATATCCATCGCGCATAGCTGGTGTTTTTTCCGGAATAGCATCTCTTGTTTCATCTTCTTCTGTAACTCGACCTTGGTGTTGTGATTCTCCAGGAGGAATAAAACTACTTTTCTCCAAGTAGGATAGAATATCGGTTTTGAAACTCTTGAGCAATCCTTCAACATTTTCCATAACAGATGCCTGGTACGCTACCGCTTTTGCAGAAAATTCTTTCACTGTACCAACAACTTCAGACACATTAACTTCCACGCGCTGAATCTCTGGTCTAATGATCTCGTTTACAACAGATTTGAGTTTTTCTTCGTCAAGGCCGAGTGTAGGCAAAGCAATCTGCTTCTTTGTTACCCGTTTTCTTTTACCAACTTCTTTTCCATCTGCAACCATCTTTGCTACATCTGCTTTACGTACCCCACCTCTAATCTTATCCTTAGGGAATTGGTCTGTCATAGAAATAAGACGTACCAAGTTATCAACTCTTACGTCAACAACTTCATCTGTCCAAATAACCACAGAATCTTCGACTGGCCTTCGAGGATCATTTCGAATAATGCTCGTCACCATTGCCTAAAATGTTAATATGGAATGAATATATTAGGATATGGGAGGACATATTTATTTAACGAATATTACCCTAAGGGTTTAAATGTATACATTACCTCAGCCTTCCTATCAAGTTCCCTAGCATGCGAAGGACTCAATGTCTGCTTCTTAGTTTTAGTAGACATACCATCAACCTCGTCATCGTCACTGTCTGACTCTGATGAAGAAATAACTTCTTGAACTACTTCTGTGAGAGCTGGAACTGCTTCAACAATGACTAGTTGGACATCCCAAGCAAACCCTTTCAGAGCTATTGTATTACCTAATAGAGAAATCTCATCTCTTTTCTTGATACTTGTCATCAACATATCAAACGCTAGTCTGCCCCATGGAAATGAAAAGAAAGCGTCCATATCAACAAGCATCTCCGCGTATTCCTTCAACATCTTCATGCGGAGATTAGTAGAGAGCAACACAGAAGAAACAATTGCAAGGCAAGCCACTTTCATCCGGATATCTTTGTCTGTAACGGTTTTTTCTTCGGAGCATCTTCAAAGCTGTGGAAACTCGCATTTCGTCAACCCTTCCAAATAGCTCTGGCCAATAGGGTTTCTCCGTCATGTTTTCCTTCCTCTTAAGCTTAGATTTCTTGGGAAAGGGACCACACGGAAGACCTGTCACAATCGCAAACTCACGAAGCGAAAATCTAATTGGTTTACCGGCGAAACGAAACCACGCTTCGTGTTTTCTTTTCAACTTTGAGTTGCCTTGACAATAAATACCTAGCAAATCTACCTGAAAACCCAGGTTTCTCTGCTATATCTACCAACTTGCCGAAAGGAGTTTGCCGGAGGGTTTGGATCTCGTCATCATCAAGTGCCGCGAGAATGGTGTTTATGGCAGTAGACGACTGATAAGTTAGCACTTTCACACCGACGGGTTCTTCTCCCTCGGCGAACATCATTTCCGGTAATGGACCGCTCATTTCCTCGACGCCATTTTCGGTGACGTTATGTTCTCCGGAAGCGGCCATCTCGATTAGGTTAAAAGTGTTGTAGATATTGATGAGAGAAAGTGAAAGGTTCCGAATATGAGTACTCAATTTTAAATAAAATTTTTCTTCATAATTATTGCTCGATGGTTTTTTGCAAATAAAGTTAACGTCAAGTTCATACATTAAAGTCCCAATACAAGTTGCGTGTTCTATCACCGGTTGTCTGACCAATCACACAGCCTATTATTTCGCCCCTACTGTCTATTCAAACGCTTTTTAGGGGCACTTTGGCCATTATTGAAATGTATACAGTCCTCTATCCATTTCCCTAATTTAACAAAGTCCTTTGTATATGCAGCGCAATTTTCCTTAAATAATTTTATTAATAAGTTAAATATAATACTACTGAAAATAGAAAAAAATCACTAAAAATTAAAATTAAGCATATAATTAAAATTCAAAAAAAAAAATAACAAACAATAATTAAAAATTTTATTAATAAAATAAAAATAATAATAGAAAATTAGAAAAAAATCATAAAAAATCATAAAAAATCAAAATAAATCATAAATTCAGCGCTGGTCGCTGACGCTGGCGACGACCAAACGAACATGGCCTAATTGCTCCAATGGTAGGTATTTAAATTACGGATTCTTAAGAATTTTTTTTTTATAAACATAAACTAAGTTATAAATGTTGTAGCTTATAATCTTCCTCCAGTAAAACAATAAAAGCAATGGATTGAAAATGTACAAAACAAATCATGTCTTAGATCGAACCAAATGGACTATAACTCAAGTGGCTGGAACTTTCTGGCTAAAACAAAGTGTACGCTGACCTTTCTCAATGGCGGGTCCCCTTTGACATCTTGGACATTCGATCATGAGTGCCAAATATTTTTTTTTAAGGATTTTATGTTCTTTTTGACACGCTAAAAAAATAAAAGAAGAGTCACCAGAAATAAAATTTGTGGATTTCTCAGGAATCATATGACAAGCAAGCTTCTCAAAGTAAGAAAAAACTTCTACGAGATAGTAGAGGAGTTACATATGCAGATGCACCAGATGTTTTCTCGCGGAATATAGAATGAAGAAGTGTTGCAGCCGTTTGTGTTCTTCCCAACACTAAAAGTCTACTACAGTCTCTGTCAAGTATGTGCACCTAATACATACACCATCCTTGCATAAGACAAGAGACTAGGCTTAACAGAAAGCCTTTATAAACCATGAACTTTCTTTTCCACTTCAGTATGCATTTAGATACATTTTCTAATTGACGCATTCAATGATTCTCCACTAACGAGCCGGGGAGATTCTGATTTATCAAAAGTCAAGCAAGTGGGAGCGAGTTCATCAATACTGGTTTTAACCCCAGTCCCTCCTTGTTTGATAACAAAAGTCTGTCAGTTTTCTCAAGCTCCAAGAACACGATGCATCAGAAAGCATGGAAGTACATATGACTTACTTGAACAACCATACCATGAGGTTTATTCAAGACAGTAATGGCTGGATCCTGGCAAACCAATTCACAGTTTATATCTATCAATCTATTTAACATTTCTTGGAAAAAAAAGTGTATAGATTTTAAGAAAACCTTATACAAAACCAAACTGCAAACGAATTTACACTCTTCTTCATTGCAACGAAAGCTTTCTCTCTTAGAAAGAGGCTGCGCATGATTGCCTACAGATAAAGGAAGGTAGATTCTATCTCCTACATTCAAGGACTCCTTGGCTGCCACCTTTAATCAGACAACATCAGCTTCTTGAAAACAGTTCTTGTCCTAACCAAGAGATGACAGACAGAAGAAGACTTACTTACCCTTTTAAGTTTGCTTCTACTTCTTTGTAGTTCATCACTGTCACAACTCATAGGAACTAATGTACTTCTCTTCTAACCTGAATCACATTTACACATTTAACTTCAAGCTTTGATTCAATCTTCAAAATACAATCTTTCGATGAAGCAATTCTGGGTTTGAAGAGAGTTGAACCTGTCTTAAACAAAAGAGTTTATGTCGTAAGAGAGATCTTTTCCTAACGCGGCGGCGTCGATGGTGGGAGAGAAAGGAGGCAGAGTTAACCATTTCCCTCTCGGATCATCGTCATCGGCGAGAGGAGAACTGTAGCTACGAAGCTGATTAGCCGCAAAAAAGGATCTTATAGGATCCCTGTAGGAGGCAGAAATAGTAGGCAGTGGTGATTGGAATAAAAAAAAAAAATTGTGATAAAGACTACAACCTAGACAAGACTACAACCTAGACAAGCTCAACAAGAGACAGCTCTTCTTCTTCTTTTTTTTTTTTTTTGATCAACAGAGACAGCTCTTCAAAGTCCTGAACTTTCTGCTCTGCATTTTTTTATTTTCTCTGAAACTCAATCGTCGAACTCATCCTTTGGGAGAGAGAAAGGAGAAAACCAAACTGTTCTTATTCTAACACGAGTGACTGATGTCAAAAAAAATTAAACCACACTGAACCTAGCTCGATCCTATCCTGAAATGTTGTCAACTGAATATAACTCACCTGATCTGATCTTGTATAAGAAGAGCCGAGCTTGAACTGAAGTGATCAAAGTTATCTAGCTTGAACCAAAGTGTTGTATTGTTGATGCTCGGAACCAAACCTTGCTATGTTTTAATCAGCTAAGGCATGGGGTTTCGCTAGTCCAATCCTGAAACTGTCCATTGAGTCTCTTGGTCCATTCAGCTTTGTTCAAGTGGAACTCAAGTCTTGCCAAGCAAGTTTTAATACCAATTTCTAGGTGAGTCTAGATAGATGATTGATGAGCTATGAATATTTTGAAAGTAGTTAATATGGTTGACTAATAAGCAAGTCTCTTGATTTATATTAAAGTGTAAAGTGTCTACCTTGTGTAAACACTTAAGAAATATTATGAATTATTATTTGGGGTTTATCCTGAGCCTTAGTACTTATTCTCAAGTACTAATACATAAGTATATAATTAAGTATACGAATAAAAATCATGTGAAGTCTTATCATATTCAGTCCCCCTAAATCCCGCATTACTGTGACTTGGTCATGCAAATGGAACAAGGTCATGAAGATATGATGATGGGGTAACACCTTGGAGACCGTGTACTTCATGACGATGCAGTCTCGAATGTTCAATAGGACGTTCGAGGATGATGGCGATGCTAACTTACTAAGCTCGGTTAGCCTTTGTGGTTTATCAAGTTTAGTATATATATATTGTATTTATATGTGAAGTGATTGGTAGGTGACGTGGAAGTGATGTTTAAGATAAGATTCATATTGATGGAATGATAGGCCTTACCTATATATAGTAGTTATGGAATATATTTCCACTGCATACAAATGGAGTTCACTGCTCGGAATATTATTAATATGTGTGGATATGGGATTAGATTCTTTGAGTAAACTAGTTACTCATGACTCATTTGTGATTTACGTTACCAGGACGAAAGACCTCACTCTAGGATAGGAAGGAACAGCATTAGCCAGTGATAGTTTTATCATCCTTGCATTGATTTTTCGATATCTCTTATGTATAAAAAATGTTTTTGATATCTTTAAGGTCGACCAATAACATTTATGTAAGATGTTTTTGAAAGAATAAATATATAATGTAAAAAGATTATTTTTAAAGTACGGGTTCCATATGATATTAGTCCTTGTCCGAATGAACCAACTATTGGATATTATTCGATCGGGTTGCAAAACCTCAAACATATCTAATAGGATATGTATACTTAGGCGATTGACTTATTCTAACACGTGTCTCACAAGATCCGCTTCTTCCTCCCTTTAATTAAGAACCAACTCATAAGGTATTTTTTCATTTATTTTAATTACAATCAAATCTTAAGAACCTCCTCATACCATCGTGAGTGAACGTGGCATATAGAAAATTCATTTCTCCAATGTGAAGACAAGCAATTTCTTAATATAATACAGTTCATTCACATCTTACTGTTTTAATTATATGCCTTTTTGCTCGATACAAGAAAATGTGGTAACCCACACCAAATATCCAATAAATCCCATTCTGTTATATATGAGCGAAAATCTACTCCCACTTTTTAGTTAAATTATTTTCAACTTGTTCACTAGTCACAACTAGTAAGAGCAACATTATTAGTTGGGGAGACAAATCTGAGTCCTTAACATATTTAATGAATATACTGATCTTTAGGACAAATATAAGAACTTTAAAAATTTATAAAACTATTGGAAGGACTTATTGAGTCATTGTTCTTCTACGACAAAAGAAACTACTTGTGTATCTCTCTCCCTTTTGTTCTTGTGACATGTGCCATTACAGTCTCCTACTGACTTTGGAATAAACAAATAATAAAATAAACACTAAGGGATGCACTAAGGACACCACCAATAATGATGGTCTAAGGAAAAAAACATACGACGATTTTAGTATAAATGAAAAGAGTGTTTTTTTGGTAATCTTGCACACACCTAATTGTGAAATATCCAAATAAATAACGAAATTATAATTTGGGACCATCGGAGATAAAACTTGAGAAAGTAGAGGGCAGAAAATGAGAGAAATAATTTGTAAGGATCAACAACATTTTGAACATCCTTTGTAAAATTCTAAACGGGAAAAACAATCATATTGAGTAACAGACGTCGATTCTCAAATCAAAAGTACAATATAACCAAAAAGAAAGAAGGATTACAGTTCCCTTTCAAGGAAGATCAGATCCAGCAGCTGGACCAGCACCATACCCACCGGCGCCACGGCCAAACCCTGGCCTAGATCCAGCTCCAGGCGCCTGTAAAAACCAAACAAATATTGTCACAGAAACTTGAGAAACTATTGATTAATAAAGAAAATCTCATATTTCCCATAAAAAATATGTTGGAATTAATGCACACATTTTTTTTTGCAGTCATGAAATCAAAAGGCTCCTAGAGAAATAAATACAGCAAGTCTCAGTGACAGAAAATAAATACATACTTAGCCAAGATAAAAATTTACACAAGACACCAATCAATAGTTTGACCACGAAGTTCATAAAATGAACTTGAGCAAAACTTAGCTGCGGAGTATTGGAAGAAGAGTAAGCTGAGAAACAAAGGCTTGGACAGTTTCTAAAATAGCAATCAACTAATGCACAACAACCAAGAGAGTTCCCTAAATAATTCAAAAGCGAGAAATAGGCGTTCAAGAACTCAATTCAAAGTTAAGAAGAAAAGGTACCCTGAAAGAAGGCTGATAATCAGCAGGAGCACCACTCTTGTCACCAAACTCTCCACCAGACCTACGGTATCCATCTTTGTCACCTCCAAACCTCCTCTCCCCATCAGAACGAGGTGGGCCACTGTCAAAACACATATCAAATCAATCACACAAAACACTAGAAAAGTAACTCCTTCTACCTCATCTAGTTCATGTGCAACCTTATCTTCCTATTTCCAGGGAGAAAAGCAGATTCTTTTGTATGAATTTAGACCTATTTTCAAGACAATGAAACCAAAGATGAGAAATTGAAAAGTTTATTACCGGGGACGGTCACCCATGGGACGACCAAGAGGCTTCTGCTGCTTCTTCAAAGTGGCGGGAACAATCTCAGAAGGAAGATTGAGGTAAGTCCTCAGAAAGTCAATGCCTTCGTTAGTGAGGAACCAGTAGTAATGCATCCACGCAAACGTCTCGCGAACATACTCCTTAGACTTGAAGCTCTGCATCAGTTTGATGACTTGCAGATTCGGAACTCCTTCGATCAAAGGATGTTGCGCCAAATTGAAATCCTTCTTCGCAAACAAAACTCCCTCTGCACAATCAAATCAATCAATCAATGCTATTTTTCTAAACTCATTTCAAAGAGCAAGAAGCGTACCTTGGAAGAGGTACTTGGAGATTGCGCGGCGGTTCTCCTCTGACATAATCTGCAATAATTACGAGTACCAAAATGATGAGCATTTCGAAATGAGTTTTTCTATCAAACGTGACAGGTGGCTGGGGAGAGAGATGTTATTACCATGATTGCGATGAGATTGGTGGAGGAGACGACGGAGAAGGTCTTTGCGCGTTGTGGTAGTGACGGCGTTCGCTTCTACTACTTTCGCGCAACCCTAATTTCTTCCAGTTTTTATAGCATGTGTCTTCTCTAGGGTAGCCTTGGATCTACTATTGGGCTTTTATAAAACATTTTATGGGCTAAAATAACCAAATTGATTCTACAACCTATTACAGTATCTAAACAAAGCTCTACGCTTACCGTTACCATTAACCATTTCTTAGTTTTGAATTTTTATTGGATTAATATACCGGTTATGTATTGTAAGCCGGTTAGCTAGTTACTATATAGTTTTCAGCTGTTAATTACGTCGGTTAAGATCAGATTAATAAAGTGTAACAAACTTTATATCTCTTCCTTAATTCAAGCTCAGTTTCTCTGCTTCCAACATGGTATTAGAGTTTTTGCTCTTCTCTTACGGTTTACTTTGTTTCATAGTTTTATGATTATATATATGATCCATATTGGTAAAGATCACATTAATTTAGATAATCGATTGAGGCTGATACACCGTCATTGATGTCATCTTAAACATCTTGTGATCTAGCTTCGGATATGATCCACTCTCTACAATACCCAAGCTTATAAAGACAAAGATCTAATCCTACAAGTCTTTAGATACTAAACAATGTATGAACAAGATATCCATATATCGAACTAAACATCAGCATACACTACAAAAAAAACTTACACGGCTTTTTTAATAAACACAGATGAAGCATCTCCTTTCCATTAGATATCAAAATATGGACACACTAGCGACCTAAAATCTCGGATTGACGAGAAAGTCATAGATGTGACCTCGTCGAATCACAGCTTTAGAACAAGTTTTAGAGAAACACATACACACACACTTTTGGGCAAATAATTCTTGCCTCTTTTTGGATTTTCATTGATTTATATAGAAAAATACAAGAGGAAGTTGGAGACATCTTCTCCATGCAAGTAGGTGAAAGTGGGAAAGTGGAGAAGTTTGGTTCCTTTAACATAAGGAAAGACACATTCCCATTATTTCTCTGAGACAAAACTTAAATAAATAAAAAGAACAGAAGGTCGGTACTGCTATAGTTCATACTCTCGGTTTGAGATGATGGTCCCGGTTGACTTCCTTCGGTTTGGTATATGTAACTCATCACAAGCCATCTCCTGCATAAACACACATCATCAACAACCAAAGCCAACAACAGACCATGAGGAAACTGATCACTAGTGTAAGCTAAATATTTATGCTCGTTAACAGGGATACCTAATATGAAGTTAACTGAGGGGGAAACATGTGAAAAAAATCAGGAAAACCCTCAATATCACTCTGGCAGTGACCAAATCAGTAATGCATCAAGGATTTGCCAAAGAAATGCATGCATGAATACTTTCATACGTATAACCAGCAAGATAGTAACAGACTAATAATATCTAATATCTCCCTAAAAGTTCAACTAATTACAAATAAACACAAGACGCAGGTTTTTTCATCTTTCTATCCAAGATTAATTTTCCCAATAATATTTAATGTTTCAGAGAGCTGAGCAGCTTCAAGCACATAATATCCCTCCCCTTCTCTTTCTTTCGAAAATGGCAATGGAGCTAAAAATATGAGTAATTGAGTACTTCTTACCATAACTGGATCCTCCGACTCTGGTCTCATGATTCTTCAAGAAGTCTGCTTCGTCTTATTCATCTTCTTTTTCAGACCAAGCTTCTCAAGCCAACTCCAACTTGTATGTTTACTGGTTTCGATGTTTTCACCTTGAGAGACCTTAAAAGCGTCTGCTTCATAGTCTCCATTGCCTCCTGTTTCGTAGTAGTCCACTTTGCAGCCATTAGTCCCAAATGCAAAGTTGTCCACTTCGCTGCTACTACTCTCAGTTTCAAAGTTGTCTATTCCGCTGCTACTCTCAAATTCAAAGTTGTCCACTTCGCTGCTGCTGCTGCTACTCTCAGCTGCCTCCGCCAATATCTGTACGCCACACTCGATAATCTTTTCATCGTTGTACCAGCAGCTGAACTCAAATGTAATCTCGCTCGTAGCAACATCTACTTCATGGCACCTATTTCGTCGACGAAACAAGTCACCATGAAATATAAACAGATGTTCAGATAGAGGAGGGAGATCAGAAAGCCGTGCAGAACTGACAAAGTTGTAGATATGGGCACCTCTTAGACGACAACTTATAGTAAGAAATCGGCTCTTAACTGGAGAAACCAGAAAGCAAGCCTTAAATCTTGAAGAAGCAGAGAAAGTCCACTCACCACCCGAAGCCAGAGGGATAGTTATGGACTTTCCTGTGGCTTTGTGAGTGAACTCGGCAGGGACTGCTTTACCTGGTAAGCATGTATACTTCTGAACCGATCGTTGTATGATTCCTCTTCTTGCTTCTTCATCTAGTTTCACACAGTTGTAGAACGTGAGTACATTGACTGGGTTGTGGAAAGAGCAATCTACTGTCTTCAGTGATATACAATTGTTTGCATTTACGGACTCGATCGAAGGGGGAAGAGCTGGGATTGACACGAGCTTTGTGCAGTTTTCGACGATGAGGTCTACTAGATGTGAGAGAGCAGTGATGCAATCTGGAATACTCTTTATATCACTGTTGATTAGGTTTAACGAAGTAACACTTAGCGGGACATGAGTCAATCTCTCAAGGCTTTTGCTGCCTATCTCAAGCCCCCCGCAACGAGACCAACGTCCAACAACTGATGACGGGACGTCTTTTATCTGTGTGTCTCTTGCACTGAGAGTCTTGATGTTACTCGAGATATCTGGAAAACTTCTCAGCTCCGAGCAATAACTCATGTCAACTTCTTCAAGAGATGCTAAGTTGATGTTGGTGGGGATAACTCGTAGCTCTTCGCAGCTCTGCATGTTCAACTTTTTCAGTTTGTGTAGATTCCTAACAGAGGAGGGAAGCTCCACCAGACTTGTGCATTCCACAAGTGATAGTGTCTCAAGATTAGTAGCATTCGAAAGATTCGGTATTTCTTTCAAACTATCGGAGAAGTCCAAATTTATCTTCTTGAGATTTTCAAGGGACTGCAAGTTTTTAACACACAACAATTTACGGCTAAATCATTGTGAATATGTTTTAAAAATATCAAATACCAACCTGGATTCCATCCCAGAGTTTCTCGAGGTTGCTTGATGACATAAGAAGTTCGACTAGACGTTCGGGCTGAAATGTTGCAGGAAGGCTTTTCATCGGGTATGAACGCCAATGTAGTAACCTTAGACGAGGTAGATATTCCAAGTCCCCTTGTATGTGAAGGGAGCTAACATTTTCGTCTTCCATGCCCACTTGTGTGTAGATTTGCAAGAATTGGAGATTCCGCATTCCTTCAAAGGCTCGCTTACTTATACAGAGCTTGCCCGTGTTAGTCATATCAAATTTTATACCTATGAGAGATCCAGTACCCTGCCAAATAATACCAAAAGATAAAAGATTGATGAAATTGCTGACACGAAAAATAAAATATAGGTAATCTCTAAGGATTTTGATTACAAGTGTATGTACTTACTGTTTCATTTGCCAGCACGTCACGAATCTCTTGGGGCTCTACTAAAAACTGACGTTTCCCAGGCTCATCGGACTGTTCGGCAACTATCTGTCTACCCAACTTTTGTAGCAGAGAGTGCATCAATATCTTTCTATAAACAGATATATTCACCAGGGACTTATCCGTTAAGGTCTTCAACCCATTTCCAACATTCAAGTTACTGTGAGACAGCATGGTTGTCAAACGATCAACATCTTCATGAAAGAAAAAGAAGCATGCAATGTGGAGAAACAAAGCTTGATCTTTCTTCGACAATCTGTCATAACCCACTCTTAATACATCTTCAATTTTTCTATCGAGATCAGTTTCGATCTTAGATAATTGAAGTTCCCACTCGGTCTTGCTCTCCCCACGCAAAGACGAACCGACAACAGCAAGGCCTAATGGAAGATTACTGCAAAACCCTGCTACTCTAATTGCAAGCTCTTCAAAACCATCTCGTACAGAGGTTTCCTTGAAAGCAGATAAAGATAAGATCTCAAGAGCTTCTTCTTCCGATGGAAAATCCACATTGTAGATATCTTGAATCCCATGTGCCTTCAGAATCTGTTTATCTTCTGTGGTAACAATGATCCGACTCCCAGGACCAAACCAAGAGGGTTCTTTAGCCAAAACCTCTAGCTTCTCTAAATCATCTACATCATCAAGAATGATAAGCACTCTTTGATCCCTTAACCACTCTTTTATTGAACCTAGATGATGTACTCTCATATCCTTACGGTCCAAAATCCTAGACAGGAGTTGGCTTTGCAAACCTAACTTGGAATCATAATCATCAACACCTATTGAGCTCTTATAACTTCCCTTAAGATTCCCCATAAAACATAGAAATCTAAAACTGGTGGAGAGTTGGTTATATAAAGCTCGAGCAATGGTGGTCTTACCAATTCCTGCAGGACCCCAGATTCCAATCATCCTCACATCATCATCACACTGGAGGCATAACAAAGAGTTGAGATTTGCCAAGTGAGTTTCCATTCTAACCATCCCATCAAAATCTCTCGAAGGAGTAGCATTCAGTTTGTTTGAGACATCCGAAGCAATCTTTTGAATCATAGCTGCTTCATTAGCCCTACCAATAGCAAACAAAACCATGTTGGTAACGTTTCGTCATTTAATTAGAAAGATGATAAAAAAAGGTAATCAGATTATCATACCAATTGAGAGAATGTTCTCCTTCAATGTTTGCGACATCAGTCAAAGCTTTGCTCCATCTCAGCTTCACCTCCTCAGCTTTCCCTTGACAGGTTTTCATGAAAGCGCTCCCGAAGTCTCCCTTCTGTTTCCGAACACTGGACGGATCAACTTCGTAAAAAATGGTCATCACAATCTGCCCTGAAGCCTCTTTGCATTTTAAAATCTCAACCAATTCATCTAAGCACCAGCCAGAAGAAGCGTAGTTCTCAGAGAGAAGAACGAGGCAGACCCTTGATTCTCTAATAGCTTTAAGGAGTTCAGGTCCGATGGAGTGGCCTCTGTCGATCTCCTGGTCTTTGAAGGTGGTGATCCCTTTGCTTTCAAAGTGATTGTGTAAGTGACTGAGAAATCCTCGACGGACATCTGGGCCGTGGAAGCTCGGGAATACATGGAATCTCTTTACCCTAGAAGAAGAAGAAGAAGCCATGAGAAAAAAAACAAAAAGTCAGGTTGAAGAAAGTATCATAACGGTCGAGAAGTAGTGTTCATATATAGCAAAACGCGTAAAGGGATGAGATATGTAACTTTGACTATAGAGGAGGAAAGTAGAAAGGTATTTCCCCCATAGCCGTCAACGGCTCATGAGAAGTGTGTTTCTCCGAAGCTGCCATAAAAAGTGTCTTTTCGATTTTCTAGAAGGCTCGCCATCTTTTCGGTGAAGAAGCGTCTGCAATCGGATCAAATGAGCTCCGGCTTAGAGTATCAGGATCCATGGAAAGATCGGAGAACACTTGTTCTTCAACCAAACGCTTTACCTAATGAAGCAATTTTGTTAAAATGACAATTGCGAAAGCTCCTCTACGTCTCTCTCAAGGTGTCTCATGTAATTTCACCAGACTGTCTTCTTCTTCTTCTTCCTAAGCCAATTTCACCAACCTGTATGCTTACTGCTTTTGACCATACCTAAATTTGCTCTTTCCATTTTCTGGTGCTACTACTAATCACCTTCCTCTGCCATGATCACTACACCACAATTCAATCACCTGGACCTGGTCATCATTTCCCTTGCATCAGTCCTCTTCAAGGCATTAACTAAGGGATCTAGCTTAGAAACGATTCACTTCAGCGCTCCTGCAGAAACCCCACATCATCATCAACAAAATAAATCATGGAAACTGGTCTGCAGTGTATAACAACTAGTTATGCGAGGAGAAGCATGCGAACAAAAACTCGGGGATATCATGTTCCTCTTGTCAATTCGTTGGAAGCAAACGAAGAATTGAGTTTATATTCTAGAAAGAGACAATTGTGATTTGGATGATATTTTAAAAATTAAAGAAAAAACATAAATGTTATGTACAATACAACTGATACAACATTTTCTCGGCATGTCACATAATGAGCTGCTCTTATCTGTTCTCTCTACATCCAAAAAGCAACTTCTTTGTAGTAGTACAAGTGATGGCCATTATAGGCTTTGAACAAGGAAAAGCTTTTATAAACCCTGAGCAGATGAGGAGGCACGGAAATGCTTGTTCCCGTGCTCACCCGCCAGATGTTCTGAAGCCGGTCTCTTTGGTCTCATCTGCTTTTTGCAACCAAAAAAAAAACAATGTTGTATTAGTTTCTAATGTCCACGTGCTTAACAAAAACCCTTTAGAGATTGAATATTTAGTAGTACCTTATCTTCAGCTCGTTGATAGAAGCTGCGTATGAGTATGTTTTTTACTTCCGTTGTTATTACTGCCACAAAAAGAAAAGAAGAGAATATCCATGAACTATCCATGAAACTCAATACTCTCTAAGAACAAAGAAGTGATTCATGGTAAAGATAGTCCTTCAGAGTTGTCTATAACAAGATCACTCAATCAAGGCCAAATGTTAAACTATGAAAGTCTAAGTTTACCTTGATGTGGAGGTGGAAGTGTACGGTTGTGAGTTGGATGATAGGTTGTTGGAACCATCCTCTGTACGATCATACATACAAAAAGAATGTTATTTTAACTAGATGAACATACAATCAAAATAAGAATGTAGCATTTTAAATGAAAAATTGGAAACAGAATTATATGATTCTAAGATGAAACAAATCTGGTTAGAAAAAAAAATGATTACTTTCTTGATTCCTCACAAGGTCCAATACAATAATAGATGAAGATGTAACTCCCAAAACAAGCCCCCAGTAAAACATTCCAATCTCTCATTGAAAAAAATTCGAAAACATAAATATTTGAATCAAATTTATGTCCAGATCCGATTTTAACCAAATTCAAAATGATTACAGGCAAAAATAAGGGAGGGAAGGACTTACGGAGGGATTAGAAGGGTCGGAGGGGCGATGTTGACTGAAATTGTGAGGATCGAAGGACGGCAAATCTCCCAGAATCGACCCCATTGGAATTGTTGGAGCTCTGCTATCTTCCTTCTGCGAAGGGAACGATAGATAATAAAAGGATTTACTATATGGGCTTTCGGCTGGGCTCACTCTAGAACCAGCCTGAACTTCTGGAAATACATTTTATTATATGAATATTTCTTACTCTTTTTTTTAATAAAGATACTTCCTATATTTTTATTTTTTTTTAACATCAAAAGACTATTCTATTACTCGAGTTTGAAGTGTCCTGAGAATCGAGATCGGAATAAAACAACCAACAAAACACAACTGAAGATAAAAAGATACTTCCTATACTTTGCAAATGTTTAAAAAATTGTTTATATTTTAAAGTAATGAATGAGTTTTCTACTGTATCTTACTAACTTGTTAATTTGGATTCACCAATCATTTAATAAATTTATATTTTTGGATTTATGGGTTGTAGTTTTAAGGTTTAGTTTTTTTTTGATATTACAATTTTTTTTTCGATGAAATATTCAGTTTATTGATCAATTCTGAAAAGTTATGTACAAAAGAGTTTCTTTTTAGCTTTTTTGTGCAACAGGGTTTCTTTTTAGCTAACATATATAAAACTGCTATGCTAAAATGAATTTATCTAAGAATCTATGTAATGTGAGCTTCAAACCAGGAGACACTGCAACTTTGGCTTCATGTAATACCTGTTATAAACCTTTTTAAAAAAATAAAATTAATAAATTATATATCTATAAATGTTATTGGTAATTAAAAAAAAAATTATTATTCAAAAACAATAGTATAACATAAAATTAGAGAAATTCTATAGGATAAATCAAAAAAGTTTTTGTCACAAATATAGATTTTAAAAATAAAAATGATTAAAATAGACTTAAATGTTCTATCAAAAATAAGTAAATTTACATTTATATCATTTGGATTAACTAATCCTAGATTTTTTTTGTTTAGAGTTGAGGAGTGAGATTTTTGGGATATATTTCAATTTAGAAAAAAAAAATAAACTTAAAATTTTCAAAATAAAAAATGTTATTTTGGTCATTTAAGTTTTTGAGATTTATTTTTGTGATTAAAACTTAAAAGGTTTATAAATGTTTTTGGTAATTATAAAAAAATTATTATTCAAAAACTATAGTATAACATAAAAGTATAACATTCCGGTTTTTCATATACATTGGTGTATGTATGGAAAAAGCTTAATTATGATTTTGCACTAAAATACTTATTTTTCAGTTATATATCCATATAAAATTTTAGAGATGAGTGTTTGAGATGAAGTAGTATTTCAGGATTAAGAGTTTGAGACGAAATAGTTTGAAAATCATTAATCAATGATGTATCAGAAGGTATCCACGAATGAATAACATATCATTTGTTGCTTGAGAAGGTATCCACGAACGAAAAGAACATGGTGTGTGGGGAATTCATTAACCGCGGATGTTATGTTTGCGTATCTATTAATAACAACGTCAAAAGGGCTAACGCTAAAAAGCATATAAATTTCAAATAAATCTAAAATATTTTCATAAAATATAATTTCATTGAAAATGGTAAAAGCATCTAAAAGACTAATTAGCTAACACATTTTCGTTAGATGATCATAGAATCGAACGGGGCTAATTAGTTTAGGACTTAGGAGTCAAATGAGATTCTTACCCACTACAACCATAACCATATGAAGTTGAATTAGTCGTTTATCCTTTGAGCCACGCCGCTTCATTTCCATGAAGAATGTACGTAATTTATTATAGGTCACTCTGATAATAATTCGTAAAATGTTTTTAATTATTCACGTCTCACTCAATTCTGAGACAAATCACGTCATAAAATATTGACATAGTATTAAATTAAGCAGAGTCAGTTCTGACATATACCCGAAAAAGGTGGTTTGATCCAAATGAATTAACCTAAAACACGTAACTAGTATTTTTCATTTTTTGGCTTGGACATAACCCACTCTACCGACCAATTGATTTGGAGTTGAAGCACTTCACATTGTATTAATGAGATTTTGCTTTGGGGACTTGCGGTAAATGTAGGCTTGACTAGAAGATTTTTGAATGGGTCCCATGCCCCACTTCAAACTCTAATAAATGTTCCTTCCTAAACATCTAGATTCTTGACCAAAGTTTTATTTGATTGAATGGTTTACTAATAATGAGGTACGTAGATGGGGTAAATATTCTCAACAGATTTAAAATATGACGACATATACTATACAATCTCTCAAGTGTTCCAAGAAAAAAAACAATCTCTCACATCTAAAAGGGAGAAAAGGAAAGAGATAGGAAAAGGAGGAAGATAATAGTATAAAGTTTAATAACACATGCAAGGAACTAAATGGAAGTAAAAGGCAGTTGAACAAAAAATTAGGTGAACTTAGTTGGCCCCAATTCCCCTTTTACTCTTACTTCTTCTTTAGAATCGAACCTTACGCATCTATACATATAATGAGGAAGAAAAAGACTTATAGTACAATATGGATAGACAAAACATAAATCCTCCTATGTTAAGCCTAGATGTCGAAAACAACGACAACACCTTCTCTTCTTTTGTTGATGAAACCCTAATGATGATGCCTCCGTCAGCACTTCCTGGAGAAGTAGAGCCTTCTTCATCTTCATGGTTTCCAACGAATTTTCATGTGCCTGCGCAGCCCCTTGAGAATGATCAAATCGGAGATCAAGGGAAGAAGAAAGATAAGGGATCGAGGAAAGTTCCAAGGATTGAGTTTCATACAAGGAGTGATGATGATGTTCTTGATGATGGTTATCGTTGGCGAAAGTATGGCCAGAAATCTGTCAAGAACAATGGTCATCCAAGGTACGTACTAACACATTCATATCCTATCCTTGAATTTGTAAATGTTTTCTTTTTCGGAAAATTGAAGTTGTACTTTGTATATGTTCATGCATCGTAAGAATACATGCATGTATATATGTGAATCTATAACATTATCAAAGTATATATCCAACACATGGAATGCTTGACCAAAAAATCTTCATAGCCAGAAAACAGTAGCTAAACAACCGGCAGGATATAGTTTTGTCTTGAACACTAAACACTACATATAGACAAAAGCTTTAGTTTTGTTTATTTTTCCTGTAAGATAGTGGCTTTCATATAAACTATATATAAAGATACATCTTTATGCAATGTAAGGTCATACAAAGATAAGAGTACTTTTTATATAAATTAATAATGTAGGATTACAATATTTTATTATTATAAAGTTATTAATTTACATAATTGTTTAGCTCTTTAAAAATATATTTTATATTTAAATTAATGTTCTAAAAATCACTACGCGGAAGTTTGACGTTTTATAGAGGATTATTTTGTTAGTCGGGCGTCTAGGCCGATTTTTTAACACTTAGATCGATTTTTGAAAAAAAAAGGATTTGAAAAAATCGGTTCGTTCATACCCGATTTGTCGACTAGGCGGACACCTAGGTGCCGCCTAGACCAATTTTTAGAACACTGTTTAAATAAATAAAATATTTGATTTCAAAATATATGTTAACTAAAACTTATATACTTAATTTTCTAATTTATAGGAGGATTTGATATATAGATTTTTTATGTATTTTGAATCATAGAATACAAATACGTTTCGTTTGAAATATAATTCAATTTAATGAAAAACCAATAAAATGTTATATATATAATTATTAATAATTGGTTTTAGTTAAACCATATATTTACTCTTATTTTATTCAATTGTATATACTGGTCTAACTCAGAATTAATTTTTTTTACTAATTTTTTGTGTTTATTAATTTATCAAAAATATTATACATAACTCTTTTTGCAATATCATAACTCTTATCTAAAGTCGAGAGCTTTATTACAATTGTTAATACGGATATACGGAATTAGAAAAAGTAATTCATTTATCATAAAAAACATAATGTTATTTTTGATAGAACATAATTCAAAAAAAAAAATGTTTTTCTTAAATGCAGGAGCTATTACAGATGTACTTACCACACATGCAACGTGAAGAAACAAGTGCAAAGATTAGCAAAAGATCCGAAAGTCATCGTAACGACTTATGAAGGCATTCATAACCATCCTTGTGAGAAACTCATGGAGACTCTCAATCCTCTCATCAGACAACTCCAGTTTCTCTCCAGTTTTTCTAATCTTTGAGTAATTATGTCAATGTAATACTTCTGTTGTAATTACTGTAAAGCTGATTATGGTTCTAATCACACCCGCTACCCAACATCTCCCAGAGAGGAAAGTGTATAGAACAAAAGAAAAACGTAACAGTTATGATTGTTTTGTTTAAACCTATCGATTTATTTGTCTGTGGTTGGTAAGATTTGTTGAATTGAACTAGCTTCAATTAGGCATGTACCTTCATATCTAAAGTCTACATAAATTATTATAAATTTCGTACATTGTTCCACCTCAACTAATTAGGAAGCTATTTGAATAATAAACACTGCTCCTACGATTCGCCATTTATGGGATCGTTGTGTGAAAACAACAGTACTGCCAACGATACTTTGTCCTTCATAATAACAAGATAGGATAAAACTAAATACCCCTAACCAAAAAACAAGTCCATGCAATGCGCAGAGTGATAAGTTACAAAAGCTCGTTATGATAAGAGTTGTCTATCCTAAGCACCAACCTTCCCTTGTTCTAGCCCATCAAGTTCTTCATGGTGCTGTCGGTCCAGAAGGCCTCGTGAAGGCCGGAGGGGCGGTTGAAAGAGGCGGCCGAGTCTGAGATGTTTGAACCGGTGGTGTCTGCGCCGGTTGTGAGCCGTGAAGCCTAGTCAGAGACTGTTGGGTAGGTCGAATGATCATCTGGTCAAGAGCAGGGGAATATGAACCGGGCGTGATACTGCCTCGCATCCTTGGACGCCAGTTGGTTGTATCAGGAATAGCCGGGTCCACATCCATTAGGTCACTGGTTCGGGACACGAATTGAACAGGGGGACTACTCGGGCGCTGCGTCTGAGCGGTTAAATGGTTACTGTTTAGACTTCGCACGAAATAGCTGTTATTAGGCTGGGAAGGATGTACTCTAGGGATATGAGTAGACTGAGCCAAAGATGAGACATTCCCAGGAGACTGGCTCGTAACTTGAACTGGGTGCCTCCGGCTCTGCAAGGACACACATGCCATCAACATCTCAATACTCAAGCGAGAAAAGAAACTACATTTGTCAAACAAATTCACTAACCTGTGATGAAGTTGTCATTGACGGTGTCTGAGTAGGAGTTCTTCTAACATATGTTCCGGCGGGAGTAACAGGTGAAGCATGAGCCTGAGAGAATTGGGGAGATGGAAAGACGGTGGAAGTAGTTGCTGGTCTCTCTCTTGGAGACGGTGCCTGTGGTACAGGTGTTGGATCTTGACCAGTTCCAGTACTCATGTGATCTAGCATCACCTGGTCAAGTGATATCAGATCAGAGAAGTTAAACATAGAGGAGTAATCTTCAGCTGAAGGATCTTTGCTTGCGTTGTTGTTACTAGATTGACCATGAGCATCTGACAAGTGGGGTTTCTGGTCCACAACCTTATCGGTGTTACCAAATAGTTCAATATCAGAATCATTCTCATCATCCCCAGTAAGGTCCAAGACAACTGGACCGGCATTTAACAAGCTATTTGGGTCTTCAAGATCATGGATTATTGCATCACGAACAGGTTCCTCGTTCAAATTGTTTTCCCTTGAAACATTCCATGTGCCACCAGCATGGATGATTACATCAGCAGCATTTTGCCCCGCATCTTTTAATATCTGAGCACATGATATGGGACGAGTTATATCTATTATAAGATGCATATGCAATAATGTAGCAGTAGTAAGCACATCACAGCAAAGAGAGATACTTGCCTTGGCCATGTTTTGATCTAAACGGATCTCTGGGTAGGAAACAGGTTGATTGCAATGAGGACAGCGCCAGGATGGTTTTCTCATGTTTATGTTGACATAATTCCAGAAATCAAAACACTGCAGCAGATGGATTTTTATATATACTAACCAAGATTGAGAGAAACACAGAAAGACTCTTTCAACTTGTAATCCTAGATCACCTGAAGATGTTTACACAACTGGCCCTTGACTGGAAGCTTGATCCGGCTGCGACTGTTTTAATATACACTAAAGTTAACGACCTAAGTCAATCCCAACAAAACGCAGTAGTATAAAAAAGAGGTAGAAGTAGTACCTTATAGGACATCTGAGAGATACACGTGATGGCCCTTCGATGATGTCAGAATCTATACACAGGAACAAAAATATTCATTGAGGATTCGAAGTGAATTAAAAAATTCCTCACTCTCATCTTATAATTTTGAATTACCTGGACTTGACTCTACAGCTACCGACTGAATGTACTCTTTAAGAACTGGTTTTTCAGGTAGCAATGCCAATCCCGTAAAAGCGATTACAACGATGTAATGGCACTTGGAATTTCCCATAACTTGTAAGAGGTTTGTTCCATATTTCAGGATGGCAGTAACATTTGTTGGGAGTTGAGGCCCGGAATCCTGGATAGAAATAAACATTGAGAATAGATATAACTAGTTCAGATAACAAAATTCCAATAAGAACTAATTGCACAAACCATTGAGATGTTAACTCTCTTGTCGACCACCTTTCCATTTAACATGAAGCTGCAATTTTGGTACAAAGGCCAGAGAGGTTACATAGGATCACATCACTGATGAAAAATAGTAAAGTCTTTTCTCTTACCTGACTTCTTGAGGATTTATAATACAAGCAGACGTGTTTATGTTGTCTGTCTGGACGACAAATAGCCGCTGAATAGCAAACAATAATGCGGAGTAAGTGAAACCATATGCTAACCAAAACGCACAGAGAGTTCATACATCGACAAATTGACGTATATTAAAGAAAAGACTGGTAGATAAAATGCAAGCTACGGTCGTATCAGATAGAAAAAATGCAAGGTAACAGTCAGTAAGTAAAATACATGAACATACCACCTAATTCCACAGATATGAATAAAACTCAAAATGAAAAGATGTCATGACTACAGACAAGCCTACATACAATTCTCTCTTGAGGAGAATGCGGCATATTCTTCGAGATATGGAAATCATGTGCAAGCATTGTATAGCCAGCCTGCCATGTAAGGAAAGCAACAAACGAAAAGGAGCACAGTTAGAGGATAACATATCAGACGTAGATGTTCAAAACAGAAGACAAAGCATCACCTTCACTTCAAGAGAAACAAGAACATGGCCAAGCTTCACAAATGGATAGAACCTGGCATCAGAAAGAAACAGATTTCAAGAAAGGCTTAGTAAGTTACCAGTAACTACCAATCTAGTCAATTATTTTACTGCACCGTTTAGCTTGCTTGTGGTAGCTCCTAATAACAACAAAGCCACATAAAAATAAGGAAGGTGGAAAGCAAGACTGACCTCTCCATGATCAGCGATAATGTACCACCAGGACTTTGAATAAAAAGGCTCATGTTTTCAGGACTCCCAAAACCATTCTTCATCTGAATAAGAAGGAAAACATTATTATCCACATAATAGGGCGACGGCAAACTAAAATTGGTCGTGTGAGTGTAGTGCAATGTAGATTGTATTATCACATAAATTTTCCACATGGATATATTATACTCCTCTATTTGAAAAATAATCCAAAAATCTGCTATTTAGATTTAAAACCAGGATTAGGAAGAAGACAAACCTGATCAGTAAGAGCGATAAGTTCTTGACCCTCGCTATCCGAAAACCACCCCAGTTTACAAGCATGCTATGCCATTAACAAAAAAAAAAATCAAAAACAAATGAATTAACCATAGTCCATAGAAGATGACAAAGTCTAAAACCATGGACAAAATCACATGAAAGTGGCATCCTTTCATTATACAGAGAAAGGAAGCACAGTGCAGATTACAAAAAAAAAAAAAAAACTACAAAAGTGCCATTTCTCTGAAGTTACCTTGATAGAGATCATGAGAACCATAACAGCAGTCTTAGTGTATACATCATTTCTATGTCGGCACACCTACACAGTCATAACAGAATCAGTCCACCAACAATGGCCTCATATTTATCAGCTTTTTATTTTGCAACTCACCTGTTTAAGCAAGGATGGAAGGTTTTCAACCTCTTTCGGGATTTCATTAGTAGCTATCGCAAAATCAACTCCTCTGCACCCCCAAAAATTTCAATCGATTAAAAACCAAAAAGAAAGAAAAAAGACCGAAACTGAAAATGTAATAGAAGTGGTTACTTGGCGAGAGAGATGCAGCAGATTTGGAACTCTTTGACGTCGCTCTTGCTTCCTCCTTGTATGTGGAAAGCTAGCCGTTGCGTCACCGATGCCAAACGGAAGGAATTTACCAGAGCTGCTGCCGCCTTCTCCGGTATTCCTCCTCCTGTTCCACTCACCGGACGTACCGTCGACGTAGACGACGACATCAGTGCAATTTTTTAAAATTGATTTTTTTTTTCTTTTTTTTATTCGTCAGCTGCAAATTGAATTAAACGCTTCCTCCTTCGCCGCTAAATTGAATTTTTTTTTTTTTTTTATTCGTCAGCTGCAAATTGAATTAAACGCTTCCTCCTTCGCCGCTAGCTATCGATTGATTTGAGCCGATGAATTACAGTTACGTCGGTTCAGTCGAGAGAATCCCAATCGAAAACCGAGGATCTAACTATTGGGCTTTTATTGGGCCTTGAAATTTAAACCCAATGTGATAGACTTGTCCTTTTTACGTATACAAAAGATTTGACTAATAAAATTTGAGTATTGGCAGTGTACACACAAGAAAGATTAGTTCAATGCCCTATTTTTGTCTTGTAGTTATACTCCCACATGCTCTGATTACTATTGTACCCCTACACCAAAGGAACTTTGTTTGTATTGATTATTTATTCTTTTGTTTCTTTTTTTTATTCTGTTATCCATCTACACACTCAACCGAAGTTTTTGTGTCAGACAAAAATAATAAATAATAATAACTAAAAAAACGAAAATAATTATTTAAAAAAATATTTTAACATTAAACTTTAAAGTCTAATCTTAGGTAAGTCACAAACCTTTGGATAAATCTATAAAAAATTAGTGTTTATGATTTATCCAAGGGTTTAGCATTAGAGTTTAGGGTTTAGTGTTTATGATTTACCAAAGGGTTTAGGTTTTAGAATTAGAGTTTAGGATTTAGTGTTTATGATTTACCCAAGGGTTTAGGGTTTAGTGTTTATGATTTACCCAAGGGTTTAGGGTTTAGGATTAGAGTTTAGGGTTTAGTGTTTATGATTTACCCAAGGGTTTAGAGTTTAGGATTAGAGTTTAGGGTTTAATGTTTATGATTTACCCAAGGGTTTAGGGTTTAGGATTAGAGTTTAGGGTTTAGTGTTTTAGTGAAAAGAATTTTTTTTTAAAGATTTTTTTATAAAATTTACCAAAGATTTATGATTTACCAAAGGGTTTAGGATTTAGGATTAGAGTTTAGGATTTAGTATTAAAATATTTTTTTAAAAAGAATTATTTTCGTTTTTATTAATTTTTATTATTATTTTTTTATTTTTGTATTTTAGCTATGCTAATGAGTAGCTGACACATGTAAAAGAAGTGGGGCAAAGTTCAATCATTACTAACCCCTCCCCCCAATTAAAACTAAACCCCTTCTAGCTTGCTACCTATAAATGACCTACCTTAATATTGGACAACAAAATCGTTTGAGGCTACTTTCGTAATTGCTAAATGAAACTCATCCCCACAATACTTATGTTTGTGTATTTTTTTAATTAACCACTTCTTATAGGATTTTCAACAAATTCACTCATAAAATTTTAGATTATCAAACTATTTCAAGGTAAAAAATTATAATTTTAATATTTATAACTAGATTTTGACCCGCGCAACCGCGCGGATGTTTGTTTTCGTTTATAGTTAGTTATATAAACATTTTGTTTTCACTTGTAAATTGGTATATATTATAGTAAATTTTTTTCAAACATAATAATAGTATATAATAAGTGTTTTAATCAAATAGATTGTTTTAAATTTTCTATATTATACCTGTTTTTCAAACATGTGTTTGTTTCTTCTTCTATATTTTATTGTTTGTTAGATTAGTATTTCATTTTTAAATAAAATAATATAATAGAGCTTGATTAAATATTAGTATACTTTAATTTGCAAAGATAATATAAACTTCGAAGAAGTTTTTGCTAAAAGCTAAACTTATAGCTTCATAAATTAGTATTATAAAGAATTTTATTTAAAAATAATTTTTTAAACAATCTCTTTTTTTAAAACAATATAATTTTAAAAATTTACATCGAAATAAATTTATCTAATATATATAGCGTGTAAATTTTGTTAGGGTATATAAATATTCCATATCACTAATCTGTGATTTTTGTTAATATATTGTGGATGCATTTAACTATTATTGACATATTTCCTTATAAATAATAAAAGATTCCTAAACTTATATCTATTGACATATTTTGCGTGACTAAGTTGGAAGGTTACCAAAAACAAATTGTTAAGCGTATCTTTGTTATTATAGATATAAATTTTGAGAAGATATAATAATAATAAGATTATTAGAGAGTTAATATAACATAACTTTCTAGTAATAGTCTATTTTTAAAAAAAAATCACACATGAAATCAAGTCATGACTTCTGTTTTAATATATAAGATTATTATTCATAAATTAGAACACTGTAATATATAATATATATTTTTTGTAGTATATTATTTTCCGAAAAATTGCGGTCAAATACTTAGTATACTCTAATATTTCCATTTCTTTGAATATATGTTTTATTTTTTCTTTGGTGTCATCACCACTCCAAAATCACAATTTTCTTTGTTTACTTGCACTGCAAGATAGTTTGATTGTGAGCCTAAATCTTCTTGAGTTTACACTTTTATAGTTGCTGGCTTCTTTTGTTACATTTCTCCCATCCCTTTCAAAATGATGTTTTCAAGCCCCATTGGTGTACGTACCAATAGTTACTGCTGGAAAGTGTTGTATGAGTCAATATACTACTGTCAAATGATTTTGGTGCTAATAGCCGATGTTGGTCAAGGGTTACGGTTTAGGATTTGGCTCTCAACCTTGACACGAAAACCACTGAAAAGATTGAAGAACTAGAAGTAGTAACAAGATTTTTGTTGTTGTTAGTGCAATAAGATTTGATGGAACAACTATCAAAACAAACTTATAAATTAAGATAAGTTTCAATTAAATCTTGCAGAACGTGGATTTGAATCCGCTTGAGGATCGATTGATAAATCACTCGTTCATCTCTTTCAAGCCACATGTAGATGCTGACCTATCCGGTTTGAGAAGCACAGGAGAGAAGGTGGCTCTAAGCCGCCGTGTGAAAAAGCATTGACATTTGATCGTCTGGAATCACCATTCATATTCATCATATTCCTCTTCTTTCCCATGATTATTGTAATATAGCATTCCCAAACACAAAGTATTGTTATTTTAAATGTCAAAAAGATACTCTCATTTTATGTTTTCATTAACCACCTCAACATAGAAAATATAACAATGTAATTTGGAATATTCTAATTAAAGTTCATTCAATATAACCATCTCTTATTATTACGTAACTATATACTTGAGTAAAATTGTAATTAAATAATTATTTGATGTAAAAAGTTGAATAAGCTTGTAGTTAACTTTTATTATATATATGTATTTTGTAAACATATTTATTATGAAATAGTGATGTACAATTGAGAAGCAAAAACACAAAGAGACTTTTATTTAGAGAACATTTGGTCTAATAACAAAACCAAAGCCATTGCTAAACCGGTGTCAAAATCCGAACCAACAACCAGATCAAAAACATCTGAACCAAACCGAACTCCTTTTGTTCTGGCCTCTTTTCTTTTGATCTCCACCACTGTCCGGTTTGATGGGACGTGCATTATCTTACACGATTTACATCTGTACGATCCTTTGATGACGTAAGAGTTCTTCTTATCGAACGGCACTGAAAATACGTACGCCAAAATGTTGGATTTGGTGCTCAAAAGATTCATCTTCAAGTTCTTCCTCATGTACCAGATTGGGCTCTTTGGTACTTTTGCTTCGCCATTAGTATCCTTTGTTTCATATATTCCCCAACTATCTACTAGCGTAATTTTCTAACCAGTACAAAGAAAAACTCATTTTAGTATGCATGTACATGACCGTAACATTGATATCAGAAATCCAAATAAAACAGATGTTTATATTTCATGTATGGTTGTCTACATGGCCGTTTTGTTATATGTAAAATTATTGTGTAAATTTATGATAATATGAAATAGACTAATAGTAATAGTCAAAACTTTTGTGCTGAATAGAATTTGTAGATAGATACTCAGACCATGTGCAATGAGAATCCTTAAGGGGAGTCTTTAGAAAAATATTAATTTTATAATCATTGAGTCCCATGAATAGTTAAGGATTTTATCCTAAAAATCCTTATGTAAGGATCAATCCTTACACTATTCATGGGCTCCACTGCACACGTGGCGGTCCGTGAGTGGTCAGTTTATTTTTTTTTAAAGAAAAAATCTGAAATATCCTTATATAATCTGAAATATCCTTTTTATTTTTTTCCTAAGGACTTCTCTAAGGATTTCCCATTGCACATGCTCTCATATATATTATAATGAATATGGCGGGTTATTCGAAATTCATGCCAATACAATTGTCCACATGCAGAATACTTGTGTACTTTTGACGTGACCGATTCTGGACGGTGGTGTAGTTGGTCCCACTCAGTCTTAATTTATATTATATACATATATAATATCTTCTTTTTATATATACAATATCTCTTTCATACTGTAGAACTCCTTTTTTATTGTTATAATTCTTACAATGATATCTTTAATCGGCTAAACCAATCTATAATTTACTCTAAGATTGTCATTAACGAAAAGAAATATCTTAGATTCATTGACTTGAAGATTTCCTAAGCAATCTAGTCTGAATATCTGATAATAGCTCGAGTTATGCACTTATCAAAAAAGAAAAAAAAAAGAAGAAGCTCGAGTTATGTATATCGTCGTTGTGAGTTGGGTACTAGGTAAATTGTTAATAATCTAATGGTTTGATGTTAAGAATCTTGAAGGAGGATATTGTATACTACAATGAATTCAACTATCAGACATATGGACGTCTACTTATTCTAATTAATGTATTTACCTTGGTACGGTGCATGAGGAGGACGGAGCTGCCATCTTTGTCCATGAGGATGAGTTCTTCCGGCCGGGTACGGGCATAGTTATCAACCCGGTAGATCAGATCTCCATTTGAGTCTATCACGGTGAAACCTTGACAACTAACAAGAAGCGATTTTCTCCATACTGTGAGTGTCGTACACGCTTGTCCGGTCTCTACGGTGGAGGTGAGAGCCACTCTTTGTTCCGGAGAGGACAACTCATCATCACCGTGGACCGACCTTGACCGATGCTTCAAGAAAGGGAACATGCTCAGCTTTTTGGTGTTCTTGGTTTACTATTTTAAGAATGTTTAGATCTAATAAGTTCTCAACACAAATATGGTAAGGTTAGGTATGCATAGGTGATATATATATAGATATAATGTGTTTGTGGACGCGGAGATATTATATTATTGTTTTTCTTCAATAATACAATATTGTTTTATGTATTATTATTTTCATAATATTGTCTTCTACTCTTCTTTATTGCAACTTCCAAGGGTGTTGTAGAAATAGACAATGTCAAGAGTCTTATAGAAATTAAAGTCACTAAATGTTGGGTTTATGAACGCCCATTTTCATTTTTTTACTGTATGATTTGTATGATATATCTATTTTAGGTTTAAGAGATAAATCTGCCAAAATTTACATTTGGTTTTATTTTCAAAAGATCTTGTATTAATTATTAGAGTTGAACATATTTTTATGTATTAAACATTTTTGTTTAAATTTTCAATATGGAACGTTGTTTGATATCTTATATTTTCCCATTCAAACGAAACACATTTATCTTGTGTGTTTTGCTTTCAATAAATCATCTTAAAACCACCTTGTATCAATAATCGTAGAGTTTTTTTTTTAATGTTTCTCCGAAAACATCACAATATCTATGATCTTCTGGCTAGCTTCTGTCATAGATTTTCTTTTCTGACATGAAGGATCTCATTTCTACTCGAAGGATATTTTAATCTTTTTACAGATCTTCGTCAAATCGTTTTGATATCAGTTATTGGATTTGTGAACATTCGTGTTCAATTTTTGTTGTCTGCTTGGTATGATATTGTCCACTTTGGATTAAGAGACAAGTTCGCATGAATTTACATTTAGTTTTCTTTTCAAAAATCTCATAACTAGAATTGAATATTTTTTATATATTAAACACTTCTTATTTAAATTTTCAATGTGGGACATTGTTTGATATTTTACACTAAATAGACATGGCGTTATCCACAAAAAATATATATTGGGATTTGGCCGTTTGTCATAATAAATCAACACTCCACCAGCAGCTATATGTAGATTGTAGTAATTCACACTTGCTACGAAAGATACTTGAAATCTGCACAAACAAACATGGTAATAGTTGTTCATATATATATATATACACATTTAAAAATTTAGAGTAGCCATCCTTAAAAAAAAGAGTCCTTAACATATGGAGATTACTTCATCCAGATTCCAAATGGATGACTTAACATGAAAGGAGGTAGAAATTTCCAAAAGTCGTACTTTGCATGGTAATTAATGTCATGGATTCGAAGATTTAGATATAATGCCTCATCCACGTTTTGAAAGATCAATTTTTAGTATATTTAGGCATAGTTAAAATATAATAAATGTTACAATAAATTTTTATTATACGCTTTCGAACTATAAATATCCACTAATAATATTTAGTCAAACTGAAATAGCTTTAATAAATATTTTAAAAAGACGATTTACTAATATCATTTCTTAAAAACCAATGTTTATTAATTTTTTTAAAATTCTATTTTTGTGAACATTAAATATGGTTTCTTCAGAGATATCCGATAAAATTAAAACGATACAGAGAAATAAGATGATAGATACAAATGGTCCAGAAAAGATTCTGAAAAAAGGAACATCAAATGTTTTATGCATTTAACGTTTGATACTTTTTATCCAATACGTTTACATCATGGCTTGTGCGGTTAGGACCGGTCCTGGACCAAGTCTAATGAAACATTGGCCTTGGGTTTTTGAAAAAATTTCAATGCATATAGACCCCTAAAAATATTTTTTAGGCCCCAAATCCATAAGAAAATTTTTTTCGGTGAAATTGTTAAAAACTGGTCTCAGGCCCCCTTATTTTCAGGGCCGGCCCTATGTGCGGTCTTGATACATCATATACTTCAACTCCTCTATTACGCATACAAAAACGATTTAATTGTTCAGATTATTCTAGAACGATAAACTCTATCATCATATCATTAAAAGCGGTTCCTTTCATTTAATGAGATTTTTACGTTTTTCATACTTCAACTCCTATATTAGGCATACAAAAACGATTTGATTGTCCCGATTATTCTAGAACGATAAAGTCTATCATCAATACCATTAAAAGAGGATCATTCCATTTAATAAGATTTTTACGTTTTCCAAAATTATTCTTAATGATATGAACAAATTTTTGTTCTCATTAATGGCAATATAATATTTTCGTTTTTGGGTCTATAAACAATATAATAATGGGTTTCATTAATGGACAAAATTTACCTTCTAATTATTTATGAAGTTTCTTTCAAAAATAAACATATCAGCTTTAATTGGCGTAGTTAGAGATGAGAATTTTGATATTAGTCCGCGGGTTGACCCGCCATGGAACATATCGATTGATTTGAAAAATTTTATTTGCGGAGGATCAAGTGTATTTTACGTGGGATGGGTGCATGTTGTTATAATTTTAATTGTGTGTACTCGAAAATCCGCAAAATATGTATATTTTTTAGTTTTATTTTTCAAAAATATATTATTTTTTGTTTAAAATAATTATATTTTAAAATATTTAAAAATTAATTAAAATATTCTATTTAATATTATTTTTAGAAAAATAAAAAATAATTATTTTTATTATTTAATAAATTATCTGCGGGTCTCCAGATTACCCGCAAATTAAATGGGATGGGTGCGGATAAAACAAATTTTCTTTGTGGGTCAGGCGGGGCGAGTTTGACCTACTTCCCAACACCAGACGTAGTTAATTGATATTATTTTTCTAAAATAAAACTACACAATTACATACAATACATTTACGTAGATATTGATGATAACAATAAATTAAAATTTGTATTAATTTTTTAAATTTATTTTAGATAGTGACATTTTATATCATCAAAACAAAAAACTATATAAATAAAACAACAAAAATGGTACTCGTGCTTTTTAAGTCTGGATCAAAAATCTATTACTCATTAAGATCATATCTTGCAAATAAAAATATGATCTCAGTTTATACTCATTAACAAAAAAAAAGAAAAGAAACCAATCTGCCACCGATTCATTTGTGATCACCATATGCATTTGTTACCATAAACATAAACCAAGATTTGATTATCAACAATCTTAGGTGATAAAAAAAAGCCCTTTGTTAAAATAATAAATCTTCGGTAATGAAGCCCTCTCTCCCAAAAAAAAAAACAATCTTCTGTAATAAAACGGAATATTTCTGCTCCTTGTATAGTATATTCCCGATTCAAACTCCATTTGTCGAAGGCATGCGTGGCCGAATCTGATTGGATAGTGTTTGGCAGGTAATCAGACTTTAGTTCTGGCATGCATGGTTTTCTGAGATTGATTGTGATTAACAATTTATATAATACTTTATGCATTATTAAAATCTGTTACTGTATTAGGTAAGAACTTTAGATTATGTAAGGGTCTCAAATTAGGCCACGTAATAGATATGAGGTTCCAAGAATCTCTACTCTCTTTCTTTGTCTACGAATCTTTCCTTTTGAAAGAAATTTTTTTTCTTCTTAAAAGACTGGTTAGGTGGTGAAGAACTCTTACACACGAAAAGACAGTGTAATAAGTTGTATAAACAAAGATTCAAAAAAAAAAGTTGTATAAACCATTAAGACAACTTCAATTGTGTAAAAATAAAATAGCTGAATATCAGGTCAGAATAGATGAAACTTCTAGGGTAGACGATCTATTTACCCTTGAGAACTATCATATAGCATCAGATTCCCACCGAACTATGACCTCATGCTCGATCTCCACGAATTGAAAATTGCAAACCTATTTCTCCCCGAATTAAAAATTGCAAACTTATTTCTCCCCGAATCAATACTTCAAAACTTAATTACCCACAGACGATGATTTTAATTGGTTTATTCTTAACCAAATATCTTAAAATCAAGTAAAGTAAACCACAATCCAATTAAATAAAACAAAATTTTCTTCTGTTGTAAAATAAATCCATTAGAATTAATACATACGAATGTTTACGGTAATTCAGGTGGGGATTTAATTGGATTTTGATTTGGTTTACTTGGTTTTAAGATGTTTGGTTAATAATAAACCAACTAAAACCAATTAAAACTATTGTCTGTGGGTAATTAGGTTTTGGAGTATTGATTCAGGGAGAAATAAGTTTGCAATTTTCAATTTGTGGGAGTCTATCATGATGTCATAGTTTGGTGGGAATCTGATGCTATATGATAGTTCTCGTGGGTAAATAGATCATCTACCCAAACTTCTACAATAAATTGATACACTTTCTCAATAACAAAACTTTCAGGCGTATTCTTTGTTTTAACTATTATAACCCAAAAGATGAGAAAAATAAATAATTCGACTATTCATATTGGAAAAGTAAATAAATAAGTGAGCTATCATTTTCAAACCTGATTTTGTTGATCTTTGGTTTGCCTTTACTCCCAAAATTCCTTCAAGAGTGATGTAGACACAGTGAAGCACGTGTTGAACACGTGTCGCGGACTCAGCAGTATAATGGGTTCCACTAAGGAAAGTTAATTCTCTAGGCCAAGACCCAAACCACGCAGTTATAGTTTAATCAACCCCACGTGCATGAGTCGTGAACAGTTTCTTCTCATCTTCAGTCTAAAAGTTCAGGACTTTTCAAAATAACGATGCGTGTGGGACTTTGAGGAGATTTTTGGACACATATTGTGGTAGTTCGTTGGTAATTAAGGACACTGACACAATCATTTGACAAGAAAATACCGAGAATGTCATTTCTCTTTCTTTTCATTAACACGAAGCGTAAAAACATTTGTTAACATATAACATTTCTGTTAACGACTACAATATTTGTTAACAGCCAACATATTTATTACCGCAAAAAGTAAAAATAATTGTTAACAGTTAACACTTTTGTTAACGTCTACAATATTTGTTAACAGCGAACACATTTATTAACGCGAAGCGTAAAAATAATTGTTAACACCTAACACTTCTGGTTACGTCTACAATATTTGTTAACCGCTAACACGATGTCGAATCTAAAACCCAGAAAATTGATATCATCAAAAAATTTAGGATTCAAAGCCACTTATGAAAAAAAATAATGAAATTTAAAATTTAATTGTATAAAGAATGATAGAGATTTGTAAAATAATTAGGGATTGAAGAGGAAAAAAAGGTCAAAATTGAGGATTCAAAGCCACTTATAAAAAAGTAATGAAATTTAAAATTTAATTGTATATAGAATGATAGAGATTTATAAAATAATTAGGGATTAAAGAGAAAAAAAAAAGAGGAGAGATGTCAAAGAGAGGAGAGAGAATGTAGAAAAGGGCAATATGGTCCAAAGGAAAGCGATTGTCACATCATGGACAATTCTCTAATTATAGGTGCCAAATACGGCACTTTAGCCAATTATCTCTTTTTCAAAATATATATTATTTTGTTCTTCATTATTTTTAATATAATGTTAAGGAGATAATATAATGGATCATATCTGTCGACGTATAAAAGCTCCACTACTGGATCATCGAAAGGTTTAACAACAGTTTAGTTACGTGGCAAAGTGGACAGGGCAAAAAAAACCGAACCCGAAAATCCGAACCGAATCCGACCCGATAAAAAGGAATCCGAACCGATCCGAACCCGACATAAGTACCGAATGGATCTTGTTTTACGGTATTTCGGGTTATGGGTATTATCCGAACCGAGCCCGAACTTAAATGGATATCCGAAAGAACCCGAAACTTTAAAATTCCAAATAAACTTGTATCATATCCAATCTACATTTCTAATATGTTTCCAAAACAGATTAATATATTATTGAGTACCTACAATAATTAGTTATGATATAAATAATAAACCAAATATTTAGTCTAATATATAGTGTTATTTGGTTAATATTAATGTTTATGATTGACATTACATTTGAAGTTAAATTACGAATAAATTTGTTTTGAAGTTTATATAATGTTGTTTTTAAAAGTTTAAATAACACTTCTTATGTTTATAGAATTGTTAGTTGTTAACTTTAATTTTTTATGTTTCATTATGTATTATATTTCGTTCATACAAGGCTTTGGTTTGTCATTAATCATGATATGTTTAGTGTTGTCACATGTAGTTCATTGACAAATCTTATATGGTTGATAGATGAGTTTCACAATATTATTTTGAT